GTGTGTCCCGTAGGCAAGAAAATCAAAGACGACGGTATGTATAATAAAGTCGACTCCCGATAACTCGAACCTTCAAGGGAAATCGAAAAAAGTTCGAGATATCGGGAGCTCGAAAAATATAGCCGGGAGTAAGGAAAAGAACGGTTTTTACTGCACAGTGAACATTTTAATCCGGCTTTTAATTGTAGAAATGTCAACTAAAACTCGAAAGATACTTCTAGATTATAAATCAGAACGTAACGTAACAAAACGTAGCCTAAATAGAGCATGCGTTTTACTGTTTTGAGAGGAAAAGCTGTTTGACGTTAGATTTGTGACAAACAACATCAGCCTCCATTGAGCAAACTATCTTCCTACAACACGTCAATGGGAAATTCAAAATTCAATGTTTCGGACGCCAATAGAGTGTTTTTTTTCCCCGACTTTTAAAAGGCTCAAGACATGGTTCGAGTTATCGAGGGTAAGATTATATAGAAATTATCTGAGGGGAAACAAAAGCTACTTCGAGTCATTGCGAGGTTCGAGTTGTCGAGGGTTCGAGTTACCGAGGGTAAAATTACAGTAAATGTATTACGGAAATCCAGGGGAAATCGATTTTGGTTCCAGTTGGCGCGAGGTTCGAGTTAGCGAGGGTTCGAGTTATCGCGAGTCAACTGCATATAATAATCCAATAAACAAAACGTAAATAAAAAGCAGGTTATGTCCTATGAGAAAGAACAAAGCCGAGTTGACAGATGATCAATTTAATAACGTTTTGTCCCATTACCTATAATTATTTTCATCACATATTAAAACTTCTTAAATAATACGCCAGGGCATTCAACCTTAATTTAATAAAATCTACGCACGAAAGAGGAAATGCTAGATTATTAATGACAGAAATAATCAAGTAGGGTCACGTATAAAAAAATAAGAATATTTAGAATCCTTTTGTCGTCAGTCGTGCCGTAAGCACTTGTACTTCAAATACAAGTGACCAGCTGTAGAAATTGCGAGACACGAAATCATTCCAAGAGGTACGGCGATCCGGCAAACAGAAACTTCAGAATGCCTAGCATTGACGCATTGAACAAATTACGTTGAACTAACCATACCTAATTTTTTTCACACGGTAGTATAATTTCATTCAATGAAGAAACTCAATACATAAGCCGGGGCTGAAACACAAGTTTTTAATTTGAGATAGACTCGGTGGTTTCATATTTATAGGGTTAGGATTTTTACATAGGTCCGACTCGCCCACTCAGTGTTTGCTGGACCAGTTCACGGACTGCTTTGTTCTTGAGTTTGCCCTTTCTTGAACTCTCACTTACTTCCGCTTCGAAACATTTTTCAAGTCTTTTTTCACGAGATTGCTTCTGTTTGACCATTGCCCACGCACTTCATTACAAAACATTATCTCCACGGAAACACAAAGTCAAAATAGCAAGGAACATTTAAAAGCACATACCGGCACTTAAACAAGTGTAGGTATAAACAGGAGATAGGTGAAGTATCGTTTTTTGGGCACCGGTTCGGCTACACTATAGGAAGATCTTGTAGACGAGGCCGTGGAAAGACGAATGCCCACAAAGGAAACGGCAGAACTTAATCCAAAGGAAGAAAAAAAGCCGAAAGACCTTAGCGTCTTATCGGCCATTTCAGTCACTGTGATACAATTGGATCAACTGGAGCTGAAAAATATGCTCCAATTGATCTTACTTTAATAGTTTAAGGCGCATATAAACTCAAGAACCATGCACGTTTGAAATACTCCCTGTTAATCGCTATCGAATACACTGGTTGAACACGTAGGTCTAATACTGACTTTAAAAAACCAGTACATTTGTCAAGAGGAAGAACAATAAAAACATAACTGAGAAGGTGCAATATTCTAAGATCTAACTTTGTTGAAGGAGTGGTTCAAGCTTGGGCCCGCGCCTGGATTGGAACGGAAAAGATTCAAAGTTTGTGTAAGGTCATAATGTTATCAGAATTACAGAGCGCGCGGATGCAATAAAGAGATGTTATCAGAAAATTGTTTTACTCTACCGTATTGCATCTTTCAACAAAGCTAAAGATAATACCTAATAGATAAAAACGAAAATGAAAAATCGCAACAAAAATAAAACTACTATCTTTGATCTATTTGCTTTTTTTCAGTGGGGAAAAATTAAGCTAAAACACGAATAGCGCAAATGTAAAGAAATGGAACTGAACAACTTTTCATAACATCTGAAATATTTATTCCTGCCATTTGCATAATTAGGAATCATAATTGTTTGATTGGATGAGCAAGGAACTAAAAATTCTTATAACTCATGAAAGCAACTTCTCCAGACAGCTATATAACATGGACACCCGTCTAGAAGTCTTCATCACCGCACCTTAGTTCTCCCGGTTCCCAGAAATTCAAATGAATCAGTTCATAATTCCTACTCAGTCTATGATACAAGGGCAGCCTTTTACTACTTCCAAGATTTAAGTATCGTAAATGATTTAACTCTCCTATTCAAACTTTATTATAGAGGGCAGACACCGGTTTATCCTTCGGCACAATTTCTTATTTCCGGGAAGTGACCACATTACCGGTAAACCAAACAAATATGTTAACATAGGTCCGGTACAAATACGTATATTTAACTGAATACTGGACTGGGCACTTTGAAAAATTCAGAAAAAACGTGGGAGTTTCTTCCAACCAGGCCTCCACAAGGAGCACTTCAAAGAACTATATATTTTTTATAACAGCCTTAATAACTGGCCATGCCCAGTCGCGGGTCGTACGTCGAAAACTTGTAAGTTATGGTCTACAAGGGTCTAGCTCTGCCTGGGAAGTTTTCAGCAGTTAAAAAATAATGAGCAAATGCATACTGGTACAAAATAACCGGAGTACCGTCATGCAGACAGATCATTTATAGTGTAAGTTAAGATGTTCCAACTTGTGCAGATGATATCCTATGCAATCCAATGACAGTGTGACCATTCCAAATAAAATTTCTTCAGCAGGGTTACATATCACTGGTACGGCTTATTGGACTTCATGTAGTTCAAACTTTTGCCTCTGGATTTTTGTCAAATTAAACTTTTTCAGCAGTATTTTGGTTTCACATGGTACCATACGTTTTTCTTTAGTATTCTAGAAACAAAACTTTCCGCTGCAATGACATTTTGCTAACCTTGGAGGGAATTGGGGTTGGGGATATAACACAGAAAAAAAGTCCACCCCTAGAAAGTCTCGTCGCGGAAACCAAAAAGAAGAAAAAGTCAGGAAAAGAGCACCTTTGCAATAAAGATACCTGGCGATGGGCTAGTAAAACGTCATTGAAGGAGTTAGCCCACCCTGCATAAAAGGCGTAGCTTAGTAAAGGGAGAATAAGCGCGCCCTTACCTACTTGAGCGAGGAAACCAAAGAAGCAACTTGGTCATTTGTTTGTTTCTGTTTGCTGTCGATGATGATGATAGTAAAAATTAATGTTGGTCAAGCCACACGCTAATTTTTTACATCATTTCAGTTTTGAGTTTCGGCTCGTTCCAGAGTACTCGCGGTCGTTCCTTACTCATAACTACACGGACAATAAGGTACTGGCGACAGACAGGACCTTTGGATAATAAACATGCAAATCTTGCGAGACATTTAATGCTATTGTTGAACAAACTTTCTCAGCACTAGCCTTTCGGGAGCTGTGATTCCTAATCACTACAAACAAACCCAACAATGCGATGGTTTGAAAAACATATTAAGGTTTGATTTACAACATTCAAGGGCCAAAACAAAATATCGGCTTTTTTTGTGAAGTCTTTTCGCGATAAAATTTTGTTTGGAATAAAAACATAGTATGCAGAAACGCAACCCTTTTAGAGAAGATGGGGTTCATAATGTCATGACGCCAGTGCCGAACAAGGTGTATTTCAATCAACGTGGATTTATCAAGCCAATATAATTCCTTGGATCTTTGTCGGCATTCAATTAAGGGTCCTTGTTTGTTCTGTCCTGCGAAACTCTATATTTAACCCTGATTAAACCGATATACCATAACATTACACAGAGTTAGTCGCGCTTGAAGAACGATGTAGCTTTCGTTATGGAAAAATGAGCGATAGAAGAGTTGAATTGCACTGTTTTCCGTGCAGAGTTCCTTGGGCACAATTGAGTCATATTGCAGCGCAGATTCGATTAAGGCGATTGGTGCTGACACACTTTGAGAATATAGTTGTTTATTCAGGCGGAATGATTTTTTTTCAAAGCCGTCTTTGAAGTCACGCCTTGTCAGACCTGAAAAGAGAAAAGGTATAAGCGCGGCTCAAAACAATGACAGCTACCAAAGAAGAATGAAATAATTTATCTCGATAGCTCCACGCATCATTAGGCGAAAGTTGCAGAGTTCATTATCCTTCAAACTTGAAGACTAATAAAGGGGTTAAGCCGAAAATTCTGTTGTTCACCAGATAAGGCCTCCAAAATACCACTTGTAACAAATTGAACGCAGATTTTTTCAAGATCGTGTTTAGCATGATTCAGTTATCGCTTTCTTACAGAATCTATAAAAGAGCCCAATTAGAATTCCTAAGGGAAAACTTTTTTTGGTGATAATTGGAAAACATCGCATAAATGCATTTTAATAACCTGATGAAATCTTCCACTGAAGGCTCTTCCTGAAGAGCCAAATAAGACTAATTTCCGTTGGACGTGTTGTTATTACACTACGAAAACGCCCCGACAAAGACCGCAAACACTGCCGTCGGGCTTTCATCTCTACCCACTGACGGAAGTCTTTGATCGCGATTTTATGACTCCTGATTGGTCCACGCGACTGGAGGGATTAGAGCAACAAGACAGGTGTCATAGAAACAAAGACGTGATTGGCAGCTGGAGAGACGGGTTCGCTCGGATACGCTTGGCATTTCCAATTTCAAAGCAAATAACGAATGAGAATAATCAATGGCTATTACTTGCAGTTGCGGCTTTTCTCTGTAAAGTGACGGACGGATTCTTGTTAGCTCAATCCAACAAAGAAATAATGAAGCGTCAAAGAAGATCGATGGCTGTTTGGAGCCGTTTCTTGGGGCTTTTGCTCGTCTTTCTGGCTATTTTACCTGGATTTCAGGGGAAAAAATCAAAATGTCAGAAAATTACGATCCCGCTTTGTGCGAACATTGGCTACAACACAACCCGATTTCCGAACTTTTTAGGACAAGAGAACGAAGAAGATGCAGCATCAAAAATTCAAGAATTCACTCCCCTGGTGGCGGTGAACTGTGCGCCGCAGTTACGTTTCTTTCTGTGTTCTGTTTTCGCGCCTATGTGTGCCGAGGGAATTGATCGTCCGATTTACTCGTGTAGATCAATGTGCGAGGCAGCGCGTAATGGTTGTACCCCCGTGATGCAGAAGTTCGGGTTCGACTGGCCCGGCACATTGGACTGCAATCTAATGCCTTATCAAGGTGACCCGCGAGCCAAGAGCGATCCTAGCAAATTGTGCATGGCTCCACAGAACCTGGAACATCGGCCCGTAAACATGACTGAATTGTTAAAAAATGTCGACAATATGGACCCCACGTATAGAGATTTGTTGGAACGATTAGGAAAGTTACCCGGTCCGTGGGCAACCGTCAAGTCAACAGCAGCCCCAACAACGGAGTATGATACGGGGCAAATGAACCCTAATAACACCAATGTAGGAGCGATAAGCACGTTAGCAATGTGCAGAAACGACACGAGAAACGTGCTGAGCAAAAGTTTTATACGCGTGGACAAATACGAGGATGAAATCTGTGTCCCCAGGTGCGGAGAGGACGTGTATTTCACCGCGAGTAACCGACGTTTTGTAGAAACGTGGGTTACTGTATGGTCCGTATTGTGTTTCATCTCAACTACAATCACAGTTCTAACGTTCGCGATCGACACTTCAAGATTTAAATACCCGGAACGACCCATCATATTTCTCTCCCTGTGCTACAACCTTTACTCGATGGCCTATATAGTGAGGGCGATTGCTGGTACGGAGAAAATTATATGCGACAAAGAGAGACAGTATGTTGTTACAGCGGGTATGAACATTGCAGACCATGCTGGTTGTTCTGTTGTCTTTCTTATGCTTTATTACTTCGGAATGGCTTCGGCGCTTTGGTGGGTAGCCCTCACCTTTGCATGGTTCCTGGCCGCCGGATTAAAATGGGGACAAGAAGCGATTGAAGCCAAAGCGACCTACTTTCACATCGTTGCGTGGACTGTACCTGCAGTTCAAACAATCATTGTTCTCATCCTGAGAAAAGTCGACGCAGATGAACTTAGCGGGCTCTGTTACGTCGGCAACAGTGACAAGAAAAACCTAGGGGCCTACGTTCTTGCACCCTTATCACTTTATCTCATTTTGGGCACGCTTTTTCTCTTGGCGGGTTTCATCGCGCTCTTCCGCATTCGCATGGTTTTAAAGAACAAGGAAACCGACACGAACAAACTCGAAAAGCTCATGGTTCGAATCGGCGTGTTTTCAGTTTTGTACACGGTTCCTGTCACGGCCGTTGTCGCTTGTTACTTTTACGAACACGCTAATATGGAGCGTTGGCGATTGAACGTTTTGCGCTGCCAGGGTGTAGAAAGCTGCGTTGAGGAGCAAGGGCCCAGCGTAGAGCTTTTCACCGTAAAATATTTCATGCTTTTAGCCGTAGGCATAACATCGAACATGTGGATTTGGTCGACAAAAACTTTTCAGGCTTGGCGTGGCTTTTACCAAAAGAAATGCGCCGGAGGGGACGAGAAGTCTGCAGAGAAGAAACCTCTCACGCAGGCCTCACAGAACAGTTTTAAAAATAATCAGGGACGCGTTGCGGCCAATACAAATTTCCCTTATGCATTTAACGCTCCAGCCCCTTATCCACAAAGTGCTTCAACAGCTGCGACTTCAGTGGCTGTCCCCTCGCCTAGCTTGCCTCAAAGCAAAGCGAGCAGTGTGGCTGCTGGCGCTACGGTGTAAAAAGCGTAACAGACAAAATATCGTCTAACTTTGCGGGAAGAGTAGAACACCGCCACGCCGCGGATGGATGCTCGGAAAGTGCTTTCCTAAAGAAAACAGATCATTGCTTCCATTTGACACTTTCACACGTTTCAAATGGCCTCATTAAGATTATGAACTGAAGCGCAGCGGGTGCGCCACTGGATTTGGAGTAAAGTTTTTAAAACACGAAACAGCGCAGTGGAGGAAGAAAACTGACTTTTTTGTAATCCAGGTCAAAAGCACGTCGTACTTCCTCGACGTTTCATTTTGCTGAAGCATGACGCTTAAAACCTAGGTGGTGTTAATTCTGGATTTAATTGCGTCCACTTGAGATATAGCCGACAAATTCGTTTTGATGAGAGTTTGTTTAAAATAAAAATATCAGAGCACGTCCGAAGGTGGAAAAATAGTAGAGTATTGCTCTAAAAATTTAACATCATGTGTTGTACAAGCCAGTGATTTAAGGAGGTCGGAAAACAGCTTGCCTTTATTAGGAAATCGTTCAGTGAACACGGTGACCCAATAATGCATTTTTGGTTTGTACGATTTGTCAAGTAATGAGTGAAAACTGTATCAAGATTAACATAAACAGCGTTACTTAAGAGTCCACGCTGAGAAATTATGTTGTTTAGCTGTTTAAAACTTGTGTAATGTGAATATTTCCTTTTTTCCCCAGGAGTCGAGGGGCTGTACGGCAATTAATGAGAGAAGCGTATTTGCAATTCATATTTTTGCTATGTTGTCAACACTTTTGATTGCTTAATTCACATCAGATTTCTTTTCTAAAAACTTAGCCATCCATAAACTCATGTGACGAACGTAACGTACGTAGAATAACCGAGTATAAACCGCGCAGATCTGAGTTTTTGGAGTCTCATCCCTCGATTCCTCGATGATGGTCTGTTCAAGCTAACCCGACATATATTGTAAATTACCGCGCTTTATTTTCAATTATTCAGTACTATTTAAAATTCATCGTGCTTTCAATTTAATATGCGTGTATTTGTCATTCACAGCTTGTGGCTTTCGTTAACTGACTGAATAAGGATTTTTTTTCTCTCACTTGTAAATGCAGAAAATAAAGACTTAATCTCCTTCAAGTACTTTCGTCCCTAGTTGATGCCTCTTGTGTTTCAAGTTAAATTGGTTTGTTTGTTTGAATTTCACTGACAGTTTTCAATCTCTTGTTCAATACAATCCTTTCATATGTTAGTTTTTTTGGCTATCCCGTGAAAAATAAAACCACAAGATCCGATTGCGTTTGATCATGTTCTTTTTTCTTCACGCAGACACAACAGTATTGAAAATACCGAATCAGCGCGGTAGTTTGAAGCGCCAACCGAGACAAAACATTATCTTTTCGCCATTTAGGGGGACGGCTTCTTTGAAACTAAAATCCAATTTATCAGTCCCATAAAACCAACAAAAACACAAACGAGTGCGCTCTGGGGCAAACTTCCAAGACGTTTGCTAAACACGTATGCACTTTTCTCAAGCTTATTGGCATTATTTCCGGAGTCTTTCCCCAATCACTGATAAGCAAGTCTCCGGCGTTACGTGCGGTTTCCTGCCTCGAGGGGCAATTTTGTCTCCTAAAAACCCCATGTTTTTTTGAGTGAAATGAATTAAGGGAGAAATAAATCAACAAAGGGCAGAAATACTTAACAATGGAAATCCGATCGAAGAATGAATGTGTTGTCATATGGTCTGTATGCCACCTTGACGAACACGACTTTAAAAATACGGCCATTTATAGTTTTAAACCGAAAAGGAAAGCGTTTGTTTAGTAATGACAGTTGACTTTCTCCAACAATTGTTTAGAGTTCTTTTGAAAATATTAAAACAATTTTTCTTCAAGGACTAAGTTCGGGCAGGCCAAGAGAAAAATTAGAGATCAAGAGTCTTTATTTCTGACCTCGGCTATCGCTTTTCCTATCTCGAGTTACGACATTTATTGCATGATCGGTAAATAATGACACGTATTCAAGCTTGGTTTCAGGAAATCACACACAATATATCAAGCACTGAGAGAGAAAAACAAACATAGTGACCGACACGTCACGCTCAGTCTTTGCGGCTTGAACAAGATATTAGGTTTTTTTCATAACATCTGCCGTCGCCATTTGAGGAATCGGGCATACAATATGTACCAGTGAAAATGTAAATCAGAAGACAGAGAAAACGTTTCAGAGAAAACGTTTCAGTGATCTGAAATCGGCACTTTTCGTACGTGTGAATTATACGATTTCTTTTCTTTTTTTTTTAACCACGGGTTAGTCTCATAACTTCAAAAGTCTTAGTTTTCTACAAACAGGGGCACCCAACGTCAATTTTCGGAAAATACCTGTTCGGAAGACGATTTGAGATCTAGAATTTTCGGAACATTTCTTGTAAAAATTCTTGCTTGCCTGCCTCTCTTACTTAGGATTTTCGAACATCTAAAAAATGGTATTTATTGCCCATTTTTAACGGATTTTTACCCTAAAAAGGTCACCTAGAATTTTCGGGAGCCTTTTTCCTGGCTAAAATTTTCGAAAAGGTAAGTTTTGATCCCTATAATTTTCTGATTACCAGACTTTCAGCTAGGAAATCCGAACAGATGAAAAATTTTTAGAGAATAAAAATATGCCAATGTCTACCGTTTAAATACTAAAATACGTTTAACAATGCTCTATATTCTCGTTGGGTGCCCCTGTATAAAATCCTGTCGCACTTTGTCACTTGCCTTATCGCGGCCATCTTGAACAGTTGTCTTTTTACGAACAAAATGAGAGCAAAAGACGTCTCCTGAATCAAAACTGGCTGCGTTTGATAAAAAATAAAAATACCCTGAGGCACATTTTATTTTGAAAACACAGGCACCATTTCTGTGTGGGAAGACATTGTCATTTTATCGTCAATTAGGAAGTGAATTCGCGCCGAAATATCGATAAAATGCATCTTCAAATCCTGACAAAATGCATAAAGAAAAGGCAAGTTCGGTTACTTGCAATTAGTGCAAGACAAAGAGATTTTAAATCAGCTGTTTAAATATTCATTTTGTGGAATTTATGTACTGCTATCTTTAATAATCCTTCTATATTTTCCGCCGAAGTTAGAAAATCGGAATTCAACGAAAATCAACGAAAAACAACAAAGAGAAAAGACTCTAATAGGGCAAAGGAAGTTTCCACTTAGTGTGCATTAAAAAATGATTTGAAATCCGGCATTTACTTTCAATATGCAACACCGCGCCGTATATACGCGTATTGTGCGCAAAATGACATAATTAATTGTCGGTAAAGACGATAACCATCTTCCTTGCTCTTAAGTCTACTCTATAACCAGTCTAAATAGATTTTTTTTTTTTCCAACGAACTCCGCTTTGCATTAATTTTAGGGTAATCGCCATGATTTGGTAGGATTTATTTTTAGTTGGTGGTTTTCTTTGCTCTTCTGTATCAAACAGAACATCTGTCATGTTTAAGAACAATAAAAATGTTCACCACTTTAAGAATGAAATGCTAACGAGGCAAATTTGAATTGACTACCGGTCAGTGAGCCTAGATTTCATAAATGATGAGAATTTAATGATAAAACCACCTTACGACCACCAATAGCAGTCCATTTCAATACCTTCTCTTTTACAACAGGCTAATACACGATTTTCTTTTAATATAATGGTTTTGTAATGGCCGCGGAAATTGTTCTCTTGCCAACATATGAACTTTTATGGGCAGCCTCGACTCCAAACTGGAGGAAACTATAATTAAAGTTTCGTGATATTTCCTAAGTTTCAAGTTTGAGCTTAGAATAACGAAAACTACACTCTTTTTTTATATAAGAATGTTGTTTTTTCCGGCCAAGGCTGAATATTCTTATTTTTCTGCCGATTTTAGGCTGAAAATATTCTTGTATTATTCTTAAATTATAGCTTATGACATTTCCGCTTAAGAATATATTGGGGTATCAAGTATAGTTAGTGCAGGTTTTTGCGCCTTGTTGGCAAGTTTTGCCGTTCAGAGGATGGAATAAGTTGAAAACATAATTTTCAACATAACAGCCTAAATTTCGCAAATTTCAGCCTCGATATTCTTATAAAATATATTCTTATAGAAAAAAAGAGTGTATTCAGTAGAACTTTCCTAAGGTCTAACCAATCATGAAGTATTCATTGATTCATGGTGCATAAAAAACTTCCGCGCCATTCCTTAATAGCCTGTGGTTTATCTGAACCATTCAAATACAAACTTCTGTTTTTCTACCAGAATAATGCTTGGCGTTGCCCACTATTCAAGTAATCGGATGGATTAAAGAATACAAAGCATTTCTGGTTTTTATTTTTTTGTTCCTTTGATGTGGGTGGGGAGTGACGTGGCTCTGGACGTTGTGCAATTTTAGCGTTGGAAGAACATTTTGGGAGGCACCGTTAACATTCCACTCGCATGAAGTAACCGGCAAAGCCAACATCAAGGTATATTGCACTGCGTTTCCGATCACTTAGCCCAGGCTTTCACTCCCAAAAGAGACCGAAGTCAAACTCAAAATAATCTCAACATTACAATTTGTAATATTGTGAAAGGCAAATATTACCATTTGAACCTGACGAACGGTCTAAGAGGTTTAATTTGCACGCTTACACCACTAACTATATAAACACGATTTCGCCTCCCGAAAAGGTAAAACAGCGTGGCTCCATAAAACCGTTTTTCTCGTAATAACCAATTATTCGCCCATCGAAAAAAACATTAAGTTTATCTTCACGAATGAACGTTTGATTTCTTCGACGAAAAAAAAAATCAGAAGTTGAGGTTTCAGGGCAAAATACCGCAGTAAGATCCAGTCTTGGCGCTCGCCAAGGGTGTAACACAGTTACATTCTTGTGGTCTTCCCTTCCGAGTCTTGCCATCTCTTGGATGAACAATTTTAAATTGACTACAAATTAAAATAATTATACGTGAACACTTCAGGTTTGTGTTGGTGGATTTCATTGGTGATCT